ATTGCTGGAAATTAAGTTAATGTGCAAATTCTTTCAATTGGGTTAATTGAGGTACCCACATACCATGTAACTGTGTTGGTTTTTAAACATTACAATTTATTCTATAGTTCTATGCCCTCCTGGGGATATTTTAAGAGAGGTTTTCTCATATTTTTCGTCCTAGATTAATGCATAATTGATTCATGCCCGGAGGGTGCAATTAACCCACGTAAATCATTACGACAACCACTGCCACACAATTATTTAAAAAATGAACTATCCAATAAACAGCCTGACAAATCAACAGAACGCCACCGTTCTATGCATATTTTACCCAGGTAGTAGCAGTACAGTACATGTCAGAGGGCGCTACATCACCATAAAAACACCCGCGACTTTTTCAAGATGAGATCATATCCACGAACAACTACTTCCCGAGTATAGCTCTTATGGCTTTCACATTGCGATTAGATATTGTAACAAGGTGCACGCCCGAATTAGTTCCCTTTACACGTATCTATATTTTTGCTAGGGAAGCCAACTTTGTTTTTCAAACTGTTTTATTGAATGTCTCAATACCTGAATAACCACGCCTTAGATTTGTGAGTGCGATTTTAGTGAAAACCATAATGATAACAGCGAGTATTCAGCTGGGCAAAATCTTTTCCAATGATGATAGTATTTGCGTGATTGCATATTCGACTAAATTGTTCAGACATTAAATTGAAAAGTATATTTCATCTCGTCATACTTCATGACATGACATTTTTTTCCGTGAAACTTGTTTTTTACATTGGTTTCCATGGCGAAATTATTTATTCATGTCTTAAACCACAGGCCCTCAACTGTGCTTGAACTCGGAATGGAAGAGTATTGTTATTGATATGAATTCCAACATTTTGAGTTTGCAATGTGATAATAGTTTTCTTTAGTGCGTAATAGGAATTTATCTCCCATAATTCATTGCACATATCCCAGTAACATGGTGCAGAATTTGAAACTCAAACTCCCTTAATATTATGATGGTACCGTTGACTACTTGATTTAAACATTTTTTTCCAACTGTTTTGACTATATGATAGCACACTGTTTTATGGGCGTGTATGGATAGTAGTTATGATATTGTAGTAGTGCTGCACCATCATGGTACGCCCTCTTTCTATAAATAAAAACAAACAAAGTAAATAAAATTTGCACGTTGAGGGAACTGTTATCAAAAGCATACCATCAGATAAAACTTGCGATCGACAGTTTTAGTGACTCGCACGCTCTGTCGGCCATGCCGATTCGATTGTGGTATTCTATATATTTTATTATATTAATTTGTAATATTTTAAACTGAATAGAAATACGTGAAGGTACATTATTATATAGCGGCAAACAGTTATCTAAATACCCACAATGCACAACGATTCTGTGATAATGAGCAGTTCCGATTACAATATACATTTGACAAAGTAATACACCTACTCGATTTCTCGCGATTAACATACATTCTATAGCTAGTACAAGCAATTAAAATCTGTTACAAGAAAATGAAGACAAAATATGGTACAGCCTGAAGGTACAGGCAACGTCGCGGCATCTCTATACTGAATTCGACCGTTACAATAAGAGGAGACAGTGCGAATGGGGTTTGTTGTCAATCATCCTACACCAAACTAAATATTTACAATATAGATAACTCTGTGCATAGTTAATCCTTTCCCACTATCACGTGACTAGTCATGTGAGATGCAAATTCCACCAAATTTAATCATTGTAGTATGTTTTCACTCAGTATATTTCCAACGTAACGTTTGGGTTTATTTTGATGTAAGTGACAGACAGGCCGATCTGCATCAGCAATTTCAATCGGAGTAGAACATAGAAAAATCCACCGATGTTACCGAATTTTTACATAAAGCACAAAATTGTACTATAACGGGACTTATTATTGGTAATCCATAGTTTGGAATGCACTAGTATCACAACACACAATCTTGGTGGATTACAAACGTAACAGCTGCGATAAACCAATATTGTAATCCAACATGTCCGTCAATAAGCTAGAAATTTCCTACAATTCAACAATAGGCTAGAAATTACCCACAATTCAGTCGTGCGCTGTAAATTGATAGATGTGTGTACAAACAGTGCTTTCATTATAAATCCCAATACTGAACCCAAAATTAAGGCATAAAGTCGGATAAATCATGCAACACCAGCTCGCAAATGGTGTTTCTGGTCACGGATGAACTGGCTCTAAAATTCCGTAACGTTGAATGTCTTGCAATACTAAACGTGTCGTTTTGAAAGCAATTCATGTGTTCATTCAGAATAACCATGGAAGGTACTGGAATAACCCGGGCCATTCTGACTAGCCGCGGTGAGGCCCACAAAGGCCGGGACGGTTACACTCAATATACCAGTTTGGGCGAGTTTCCGAACACTCGACCTGCACTATCATATTCCTATAAAACCACTGAACATGCAAAACAAGACGACTCAACGTTCTCCGAAAACTAAACACTCAAACCGGGAAGGTTTTAGACTAGCTGACCACTCATGAAACTAATGGATTATTAAACAATGTCCGAAAACTTGTATATGGAGTGTAAGCAAATATTGGAACCACAGGCGACGCGTGGCGAAGTACCAGCATGACATATATCTCAAATATTGTGGGATGGTTTGCGTTTGATACAACCCAGTCGTGAGCATGCAATGAACACAGCCTCGTTCACGGCCCAATAAATTGTTATTTTCTTCCCAATGCACGCAGCCAAGTCTCGAGAGATGAGACATGATGCTAGATAGAAAAAACGTTCACGTCATGTTTGCAATGAGTTGTGCATTTTGTTAAGGCAGTGGTACCATTATTCCTGTCGACAGGGCAATTTCCATTCATGAGGTAAATTTTAATAAATGGTTATCGTCTGCTGCATATCATAGTAACGTTCTTCTGTACGACAACGTTGGTGGCGCTATCCACTGCGCTTTAAAAAGTGTCAAGTATAACTAGTAGGATAATCTCCGTAAGGCGTCGTATCTGCGTCGTTTTCATGGGTATATATTGTACTTGACGTTGATCCCCTTGCCAACGGAGCGTTCAAAATAATTGCACACGTAGCAAAAGTATAAATGATAACGTATAACCATAGCAACATACGGTCCAGCACCACTGCCACATAACGCCACTCATCGGTAAGCTGAAATAAAAAATGAAATGTATATTTAGCAATGAATAATTAACTCCGAATTATATTGATACAAGAAATTCACTTCAACCGCAATTATCATGAATATTTATAAAATAAGAGTTAATTTTGCCATTCATCGTCCTAATTGCCGATCGTAATGTTTGTTTACTGGGTTTGACCGTGACGACGGAGCCGCCCGGGAACTACCTAAAGGGTGGTCAGGCGATACGTCAGTCCAGGGACTAGACGCGACTAGGCGTTATTTATCAGTCTATACATTTTCCAAAACACGTCTAGATTTCAGATATATTGTTGTCACTTCCGGGCATCACATTCAGGATGTACGGTAAGCATGCGAAGTCTGTAAATCTGAATAGTTTAATAAGATCTTAGTTGAAAACACTGTATCACACTGTATTTGTATGCGCAGGTGTGTGACAAGATGCACTGAAAAGAAGAAGAAGAAGATGAAGAAGGTTCTTACAAGAAATGGACTGTAAACAAATTCTCTCTCAAAAGTAGAAAAATAGCCTCGGGTGTAGCGTAATGGGAACGTTGTGTTTCTGTTTTACAGCGATTTGAATATTTCGTTAGGTCCGATATATAAAAGGAGATTTTGCATGATGAGCTGCCAATTTACAAAATAACTTTCGTCTTATCTCGTGACGGTTCCTGTGTATCTAGTTACACACACGACACACCGTGTATAGCATATGAGGTCACCATGACAACTTGGAAATCTTATCAGGTATACCAAAATGTATAGAAAGTTTTTTTGTTTGAAATAATTATATATGATATACAAATAGCGCTACCAGAAATGTAAATTGGTGTTACCTGATTCTTAACCATGTAGAGTTGGTTAGTCAACAAAGTGACAGTGTCAACTGTGAGTAGGACAACTTGCCACCTTGCCAGGGTAAAGTTTGTCATTCACTGCATATCGCCCTGAGTCCAAGGTAAGTAAGAACATTGGCCTCCCTGTCAAATCAGTGAGTGACTCAAAAACTAATGATACAGACCAAGTAGGGATAATGAACTTGAACATAAAAGATCTGAACTGCGTCATTCTTGTAGAGGCTTCTACCCAAGCTAACTATGAAAATGGTGTTGGTATTGATGTTTTCACTGGGAATGGTGTTTTCTTAATCACATTAGCAACATGGTACAGAAAATCAACTAGAAAAGATGGGTTTGATGTTGTATACACCACTTTAGGTAACACTTCATGTTGTTCAGGTTATAGACTAATTTAGATCTATCTGAGCGACTTCAAATTGCCTCCGAGGTTTTGTCTGAAAAAAACCAAAACCATCATGGCTTGCAGTCACGATGGAGGAACAGCTCTGGGCTTGCGAGCCGGCTCCTCTTCATCTCGATAGTCTGATGCGTAAAGAATGTGATTTTCCAGCTGTGTGACAGTGCATATCAGCACTAATGCACTTCAACAAAGGTGTTTGGTCACAAACAAGTGGTATCATGGCAAATAGACTGATAAATGGTTCTAAAATAGCATCCTAGAGATCCTGGTTAGGATATGTCTCTGGGATTCTACAATGGTGCACACCAATATTGAAGTGTTAAGGAGTAGAAAAGCAGTCAATGTGCCCTTCTGTTGATGGGTCAGCTATGTTTTCGATTTTTCTAAATCTAATGGAGAAAAATATCCATTTCTAATTGATGTTCGGCGTGTGGATCTGGTCGGTGTTATAGACCCTGTCGCTATTTTTTTCATCAAATGTTTCCCCCACCATGACACCAATGGGTCTATTTTAATCCATTTGGTTGGCTTGGCTTGAGAAGTTACTTGAAATGAATAATCCAAACTCTCGCCAGTTTTCTTTTGTTTGATGATGAAAACGCCGACCATTCATGTATTGATACACCTCATATAAATCAAGGCAAGAAGTTAGACTACTACAGTCTGATAATAGACCATTTTCCGTTCACTGCGAGAATCACGCGTTATGCGTGAAATCGAACGTAAAAACAGGACAAACAAAGGTCATAGCGTCGTAGTCGCGTCATCATCGCGTGTGATTCGACAAACGCGAAAGTATTTCGGGGACGTTTCCATGCTTAATAATGTGCTGTCCACATTTGATGATAGACAATTTCGATTAAGTAAGGGTATTCGGAAGCAATATTCCTCTGTCGAAGATCGGCCGGTCAATGTAAGCTGCGAAATAAAGAAATTCTAGTTCAAAATCAAATCGTTCGATTTTTGCGGCTGACGTTCGACGCGCGTCTTTCATGCATCTCGCGAGATCTCGCAATTGTACGGAAAAATCACCTATTGGTAAACGCCAATGGTGCTGCATGAAGACCTTTGAATTGATATGCCAACCCTTTGAACACAAACCTTAACAAACGTCGATTGTGGTTGGGCATTCTTCAAATCTAGTACAGCCATAAGATTGTTTGGGCAGATACACTATATATTGAACTGCGATGTAACCATCTTGAATAAGTACAATTTGATGTGTTGATTGAGCGGGGACAGGTTCATGACTGCCCGTGTGTTTTCTGAATCACGTTGGATATGTGCATTAAATTGGTCCTGGCACAGAATATTTACCTTGAGACATTATACAAATGCACGAGTAATTGTTGGACAAATATCAATCGACCAGTCAGGGACGAGAATTCATCAGATATTCTAATGCTCGCACTTTTATCAGTGTTCATATTTGACTTACTGAACCATCGCTCTCTGTTGTTATTATACGAGTTATTCTCAACCCCTGGACTGGGTAGTTCTAGATGCATATTTTTAGTAGACTGAATGCAGAGTATCCCATTGCGTAGAGGATTGCAGCTTTAATTTTGTCATCAGAGCAGTGTGCACAGAAATAAATTTGTGACAATAAAATGTATGCTGTAACGTGTTTTACATTTAAAAAAGTCCAAGTCACATTGCCAGCCTTAAATAAAGTGTTTGCACTGCAGTATAGACATATGAACATCATCAGTGATGGGTAACATAGCAAATACAATAACGATGGGGAACCGCTTCTGGTATAAGACCAGATGGGAAATAATGCAAATCCAAGAGTTGAAGTAGTTAAAAAAAGTGAGGTCACATAGTGATTTGGGAGCCAGCTCTCTCGAATTATGGTCCTTGAAATGAGTGTGTGAGGCAGGGACTACTGAACATTCATAAAGTCCTTAGTAATGGGTGATTGCAATAGTTCTGGCTAGGGGTCATAGTCATATGGGTCTTATAGTGATTATACTTCAATTGTACACATGGTGACCAGAAAAGGTCGGCGAAGGGAGTGTGGCCTTCAAAGTGTCAGAATGTGAACCTGGGGCACCCTCGGCAACAGTAGCAGGCACGGGCAACTCTGCACAGTACTAATATTAGGGTCTGTGCTATAAGACTGAAAACATCTCACATAGCTTACAATTGTTTCCCAGAAGTTGTCCCTATTGCTTTCACCCGTGCTTCCATACATCCTTCAGTATTATCAAATACACTGCAGCGCTGTAACGCTAGAGGGCGCGACTTAATTGGAGTACAACTGCGCAATCAGAGCCGTGGCAACCAGAACTAACGACGAATAGCAAAAATAAACCCGCAAGTACTGGCAGTTCGGCATCTGTCCATAACCTGACAATGCCCGTTGGGAATGCACTTGTCAGTAATTGCCCAACGTTTTGATCATGACCTTCCGTGATCTTTCTCGAATTAAGCCAGAATAAACTGCCTTGAAAGCTCATGTGAGGGACATACAAATTAGTATTTTCCGCCGCCTACAATATTCATGGTAGGTCCCTACAGATAGTATTCTTCTAATATTGATTAAGCATGCCTATATTTTACACTACTGTTTGCGTCTGAGGAGATGCTTATACAGATTGAGTTACTGTTATCCCACAGTGGTGTTACAGATGGTAATTGATTTGTGTGATAATCATTCGTGAATAAAACGATGATAAATTGAAAACTATATCATCAAATAGATTGCACTAATTACTGGTCCAACCCCATAAATGTGATTTACTGTCAGTTGGCATGGTTACTATCGTCACTTTGTTCATCTATTTTTTTTTATTTAACAGCATGCTACATAAATTGGATATCGGTCAATATATACGGTGAATGTATTCGCGTATTTGACCTTCAAATTGGTAGGTTAAATACGCCGATCTGATTGGAAGTGCTTCTAAAATATGCATCCAATCAGAGTTGGCCTAACACATTGCGATGGATATAAAACAAAATGGCAGGAAGTCGAATTGCCAAAGAGGGCGCACTTAAATGCACATTCCATGAATAGAATCTGTCAATGGGTAGCAGTGAAGCGGACCATGGTTATCGAAAATGACCAGATAACGGTAAATGGTTAGACGGACTATAGGCCTTTAAAGATTCAGTATATATCTTAACAAATCAATGACGTCGCCATTTCATATTCAATAAAAATTGCCTAATTTGGCTACCCATAAGTGATTTACCAGAAACCTCACGTATTAAGAAATAAAATAAGTTACCTGCTCATGTAATGCCCAGGAATATACAAAGAAACTGACTCAAATCAAAGCGGGGGAGTCGTCACCTAGCATGCGCCAGATAGACATAGCGTGTCATTGTTTACAAACATTCAGCGTCTACCGTCGTTCAGCGTCTGTTGTTATCGTCGCTTGGAACTCAATTCCCGCGCGTGCGCAGGTGACGATCCTCCCGCTTTAATTATTAACCATATCATAACCATGACCACCAGTGTTGTCTAAGTTATAACAAATATTCATGCAAAAAATATGATCTGTGTTCATAATAGTCTCGTTCCCGGAACGTTTTTTTTTTTTAGAGTCCGTGTAGACATGGGCAAGTGTCAATTTAAACTTTTAAATTGAGTGTTTCTGGAATACTGTAGAAATCTTTGTGATGTTCATTTCCAGAGTTTGAAATGGACGACGTAGATAGTACTGGTGAGTACTTGATTACTCATCGGTGGATGCAAAATATTTAAAAATACGTTAGCATTGTCGTCCATTGAAATATATTTCGTGGTTTGATACCTAAACATCTATTTGAAGTGATTAATAATAAGAGTGCAGTTGAAGTATTCGCCTCGTCCAAGTCTCTTATATGATTAAAGTAGAAGCAACTAACAAGTGGGTGTTACTAAGACAACTCTTCTTACCTTATTATCTGCATCTTCTTTTTTAAGATGCTCTGAGATGAACTTCGTACTTTCCGCCATGTTCGTCATTTCCTTCCTCAACGACGCAATGTGATTCGGGCTGTGATTGCCCCCTCCTCCAACCTCGTTCGGATACTTTTCTTTCATCGCAGTTCTCCGCGCTCGCGAGAACAGTTTTGAAAAAGATGACTGAGCCGATGATCGTCTTTTGAAACCTTTGTGACGTGGTTTGTTGATGCAGATGAAACGAGGAAGGAACTCGATGAAGATGCTGCGGACCCACAAGGGCATATCGTGCGTCACGGACAGACGATGGTGGATACTCAAGACCAGAACTGTGAAACCTGTTCCCATGACAACCATCGTAGCGTTAAACAACAGGTATTGGTCGATCAGAGCGACATTGGCTGACGTGGGAGGGACGATTTCGGCAACCATGAGTTTAAAGATCATCATAGCGAGGAAAATCGATATAGAGAGTGTGACTTTCTCACCACTGTCCGGGGGCAACGCGAATGTGAGTATGGTTAAACCAGACAATAACACACTGGGAGCGATTAGGTTAATAATATAGAAAAGTGGTTTCCGGCGTAAAATTAACGTGTGGAATAAATATACGTAAAATGTATCAACTGCCTGCTCGGTGAATTCCTCGACAGGACTGGCGATCAGATCCCATTCGCCGTCTTGCCAGTAGTCTTCCCACGAATTCTCCGTTTTCTTGACAATGGTATACATTCGGGACAGGAAAACCCTCCTCGCCTCGTAGTCTCGTATGGTGAAGGCGATTAAGCACTTCTGTTCATCGAATGGAAAGTAACGGACATTGATACGACACGACGTCGTTAACACACATGGCGCGTTCCAAAACACCATCCCGCTGGAGATTACTAATACATTCTGCTCACCTTTCAGTTCGTACTCGCCGTCCGCACTACAACAACAAAAACATAATAAAATCTATGTCAAGTACGACGTTGCGGGTGGGATGATAGGGAGAGTGTGCTGATGCTTGTTTACCGACTATGCCACTCAAAACGCAACTGCCGTCACGCGGCGTACGTTAAATAGACAATGCGTTTTTGCACGCGGTGTACATAATATACTATATACTAACTATACGTAAATACAACCTTGCAGCGTTGACAAAATACGGTCCGCTAGCGATTATATTCTTATAAGCTAATATATTTATCATGTTTGTATTTTGTTTATTTGTCGAGAAATACCGAATAAATCATAATATGAGTTATTAAATATGTGTTACTCTTGAAGTAAATAAACAATTTATTTTAATATGTCTGAAAATATTTACGTAACACATCAGAGAGATTTCTAGATCAACTTTGCCACTATCTTCCTATTAATGCTGTAACGTCACGAATGATCCATCGCACGGTGTAATGTGAACTACGCCATTGTCTCTAAAGGAAAACGTGCTATTTAAGAAGAGACGGCACCTGAGACTCGTTTCAATATGAGACAATCAATATGAAATGAATATGACTCAAGGTATTCCACGGAGATACGTCAATAGATTAGAATCCTTTATATATCGAAAGATCGGAAACCATCATACTAGATTTTTTTCTCTTTTATTTTTTTTTTTATTTTTACAAAAGTAAAAATCCCCTAAGCTTTCCCATTAGTATTGTCTGTCTATATGAAAGAGATGAGACACCAGTACCTCCAAACCTCTACTCCTTTCCAGACAGGGAAAATGCGAAAATGGAAGAGCATCCATCGCATAAATCAAATAAAAGTAATCACAATATGAATCGAATCTTCAGTGAGTGTATTGAATGTGGGCGCTTGACTTTACTAAGTCGATTTCGTTTATTATTATATTTTCTTCGTTCCATTGGTGTTTTTTCTTGTCTTATTACGCTGTAATTTAACTATTTTTTTTGACGGTCATGTTCCTTGGGGTATGTATGTGTGCGTCGAATCTAATAAAATGATATAATCTGTGATGTCAGTACACTGTATTTGTTCGTTTTGCATATACTGGAAGAGTACGAGTACTACAAATTCAAAGCACGTGCGGAGGTGCGCAAACCATTGGTACATTAAACGAATACTATTTTATGCGCAACAACAATCATTTTAGTAGGCACAGCTTACACACTTTGAACTAATAGTTTCGGGCATTTTTTTAAGTGATTCCCTGGGACTAGTTATTTTGAATTATGAACCTTATTTGCACGCATTTTGACAACAATTCAATTGAAAATGGTCACATAAGTAATGTTTCAAAAGGTCATTGTTTCCATGGAAACAAGTTGAGTATTTGTACATATATTTGTGTATGTGTGTAGCTCATGCAAATTACAAAAAAATTGTAATGCATTAAAATGATCCTCATTTTTACTGCGCCACATCATGATCCAGTGCGGCAAAAATTAACATGTAATACATTTACATTTCAATTTGAAATAATTAATTATATTATATCAGAGGTACATTACTTTGGGGTTTGTAACTACGGTGACATGATACCAAGATCCCGTCACAATCTCGCTCTCGCATAAGCGTTCCAAGTCAGAAAAAATGCGAATGCGCATGCCTGAGGTAACTAGGATACTGGGATGTCCAGGTGGATCAAAATAGCTGCCCACGATATGACGGATTACGATAACTATATTTTCTGTAAATTTTCGATGTATTACATTTTTCACTATGACAGTGACAAGAAAAAGTTTATTTTTTTCATTACAAACCTTGAACATTGATACGCGTCATGTCAGAATGTCGTAGCCTCAGTCTCGCTATCTGCGAGAAGAGACTTGAATGGGATCTTGACATGATGTCACCATACAGTACTATACGAGTTGCAAACCCCAAGTAATGTACCTCTGATTATATATATTAGTTAAAGAAATCACGTGACATGTGGCGTATCGTAATCAATCAAATTTATATAGCGCCAGTATCCAATACGACGTATTATTCAGAAGCGCTGTACAATTAGTTTTGGAGTTTTGAGACTCTTTCTAAAGGTATCTATTGTAGGTTTCTGACGCAATTCTTTTGGTAAAGTATTCCATAAGCGTGGAGCTGCTCGGGAAAATGCTCGCCCACCATATGATGCAAGTCTGAAGTTGGGAGTATGCAAAAAGCATTTAGCTGAAGAGCACATGGCAATAACCAATGGTATAACCAGTATATTTACCTGTTTATAAGCGATAACTTTGGGTACCATATTTTGTCAAGTGGTAATACAAGTTCTCGAATACCTCCATAATCTTTGGGATTCCAGGCTAATCGATAATCGTCCCATAACTGAAAAAGAAATTTTAAAATACTTAGATTATTAGCCTTTGATCTTGAATCGAGGTAAGCATGATTATCTCGCATTTTGCGAGCCCCACGTGAGAACAACAAAGTACACATATTATTCACAGTGAATAATCAAGAACGCCGCGCTGACGTATTTACTGACAAATGCCGAGATTATTGCTCATGTTTCAAATTAAATGTGTATCAAAATTTGTAATCTTTTAATCGCGTAGGTTTAATGAAACTCGTTTTTTTATTTAACGTTTCGTTAAACATGATTTCTATGAGATGTAATGGATTGAGAACGCGACTTTTCTCATTTACAATTATAGACCATTTGCGGGTTTTACTATCACGTGGTATTTTGTTCGAGTACTAGTACATCACCAAAATCGGCAATTTGTTTTAAACCTCGTTAGCTAATTATAATGCATAGATTGATTCAGTAAATTATCAGTAATGAAACTACACAGGCAGTACACGTGTAGTTTCAATCTATTTGAGAAAACATTTAAAATACAAACAAAAAATTATTAAAGAAGTTAATTAGTATGCAAACTAGCTAATTAATATGGACTAATTACAAACTATGGTTTCACAATCAACTAAACACCATGACACAGTACAGGTACATAATTTCAAGCCAACCAAGAAAAATATTATACTACCAAGGATGTATAAAGATAAGGGTATGCAAGCGTGTGACATGAAATAAGGATCACACGCGAATTGAAGAAGTCACGCGAAATGGGATGTAGTCTTAAAATCGCAAGAGAACCCTGCATTTCTAGAAATCCTGATTAATATTAGTGAGTTCGTGAAAGAAATGATTTGTGTTCATCTCAGATCATTTTTTTCAGTTGTAGCGTCGGTGCTTATTCGGAAATCGCGTGATACATGCGTTTTTGAATGCGGCGATAATCTCGCTCATTTATGTTTACGCAATCGAACATTTCCCATCACCTACTGCGTTCTGTGACACCATTGGTTAGAACTACGTTCGAAATGCACGGAATGGGATGGCTTTCAAACACACGCAAAGTGCGAGAGTTTGCTTCTCGTACGATCTTGATAAAGATACACCATGAACATTTTAAAACTAAAAAATTATTATGCTAATTGTCTAATCACACGCGGATTTGTACCAAAATCAAATCAGATTAGGTGATTGTGTTGTAGTCATTGTGTACTGAGTTTTATTCTTATCCCAGACATCTGTAAGTCATTAGCAAAAATGGGCAAAATGTATAACATTTAGATTCATAATTCAAAAACTAGTTTTTATTAGGTAATTAAAACAGCCAGTCACAAAAATCTGAAAATGCCTGTTAGACGCTAAAATTCTTAATTGATGTTGGCGTAAATGTTCTGTTGCACGAATCAAATTACTATAAGTGAATGTAAATTAAAGTTATCTACTGCCCAATTTGAAATGTGCATCACACTCTCTTATGTATAAATAATTACGTCGTGCACTTGATCGTTAATAAATACGGCTCCTGCAAGTTCATGCTGTTTTCAAGTCGATGTGAAAATCGTGAACGAATTATATAAACACCCGACAGAATAATAATGAATCTGAAAACGTCCGATTTCCCGTCCTTCACGGTTTGATTAGTCCTGAAGTAACAAATCCCGATGGAGCATCTATATCAGCACGAGGTCTGTGACATATTGCATGATTTAACAGCTTCGTGGATTCGTTTGTAAATATCAATTGTAATGTCACATTTCTCTAACTGCATTATCAATGTGTTATTTAGTATCCCCTGACACCATATTAAGTATGCATAGCGGTACCTTGAATATTTTAATGGATGATTACATTCAATAGATATTAGGATTTCTAATTGAACATGATGTTTTACGTATTCATCATTCACATTAGCATATACAGAATTTGTTTTCATCGAGATTGTCATTTTAGAATTCAGATTGGGTAACGCAATCTTGAGGGTTTACTAAGCTTCGTGACAAAAATTGTTAAATATGGGTATACAATAGGGAACAAAAAAAGACCCTAACAATATTGACATGCGCAAATTAAATTTTTAAGTTTCATTTCCGACTGGTTTCGAGACGAGACAGGTGCCAGAGACCACAGCAGTTTTTTTCGGTGATGTGAGTTTGTCTAAATATTTAGGGACACATTATGATCAAACCCCTTATCGAGTGGCGATGACAAATTGAAAAACAGGACTAGAGTCAATTAACTAAATTTTAAAACAAGTAAAGAAAAAAGTTGTTTATCAATTAAAATTTAAAAATCAAAATCAAAATAGAAAGCAGTATCATTACTGCTGACATTCAATGGTAAAATTGACTCGGCATATTACTGATAATCATAATAGATACAGATAGGCCACTGGCCCAAATACATACATCATATACAGACTACACAGCTGACGACGAGGACGCTTAACAAAAACATCATAGAAAATAAGTAACACTGGCAGCAAAACATTACTTATTTTTACATCATATTATTATATTTAAGCACTGTAATCAATTGAAGGGTTTAATGCCACAATATCAGATCGATGTGTCAGTGCAAAATATATAAATTTGAATAAGTTGACAATAATTATTGGGTTTTATAGCAGGGCGATGCATTTAACGGCTGACTGCTTTTAAATAAGAAACATAATGCGCCCTTAAAACAGAATAAATTGCACATGCCATAATAAAACGAACTCCGCCCCCAAAATCATGTAGCTACAAACAAGTGCATAATCTATTTTTTTCTGTTTTTACGTAACCGTCTTTCTGATTCTATTCGTGAATTGTGCACAAAAACCACTGATGAATCTACCTAATGCATTCGACCTACGCCACATTAAATGGTGGTGGTCGTCGCGCCGTTTCCTGTTCGATATGAAACTCATAGCGACACGCGTGTAAACTGCATTGAAATTCGCACACGCGCCGGCTGCGCGACGACCGCTGCCCTTTAAATTGCGCGAATAAACTATTCAAGTTTGAGTGCCCATTTTGCTATAAACAATTGGTGTAAAATTTTACAGATTTCATTTATTCTATGATTTTTATTTATAAATTTAGTTAGCTAATCGCTACATTTTATGTAAAATTATGAAACAATTAAGAAGATTTAGTATTTGGGAGAATTCATGTGTGATAAAAGGCCGTTTGTCGGTGAATCACTTCATTGTAAGCCAACAAAACATTAAAAACAGGAAACGAGTCTCTCGAAGGAGCAAAACACTTAATGTTTATTTAGTAAATGATCTCGAGTACTTAGGCGAAGAGGCAATTTACGTCACTGCAAACGAAACTAACAAGGCAATGTGTCGCACTTTCTCACGTATTCTGTTGCTTCCAACACTTTTTATATTAAAAGGGGGAACTGTGTATTGATTAGGTAAATATTTTATTAAATGAGTAATTGAAATACACGCTATTTTTTTATGAATTTCGTTGTGAAATAATTGTTGTGTTCTTTTAATGTAATTCTTGTATCAATCATCACTACAAATAAACTGCGCTTTGTGTTGTATTCTGCCGTGATATTCACTCTGAATTAAAGTGACGTCACAAATCAAATATAAATAATAAGTGCGTCGTATTATATAAAGTATTCAACACCGATTGGGTTTTAAACAAAACACTCACTGAAACATTTGTCAGGTTAATGTTTCATTTTATAAGCGTTAAGTGTAATCATGTTTGACCAATCTATTCTGTGGGTCATGTAATTTTCATTGAAACAATTATATTTGCCTCCAGCAACTGTCTTTCAGAAATTTCACCTTAATGTCCGAAACAAGTTTCATCTTCAAGTCTTTTTCATGTTTCAAACGCTATCTGTTTCTGATGTGTAAATGAATTCCATCTGCCCCGTGATTCAATCAGTCAGCATCGATGTCTAACATTGACCTAATGAGCCATGACGCAACTTGGAGGCCCCTATGTTGCATTCTATCTCTAACCGTTAAACGACCTTTCATTGGATCAGACTTTACAACAAGGTGTCTGAGAAAATTCCAATTCATGTCGATTTCCCAATCGTACAATTCAGCGGCGTCCTTGTTGATTGCAGTGTTTTTCCCTGCATGAGGCGTGCCGTGATTTGTTTGTTAAGCACCTTTTAATCTAATATGATCGGATCTAATAACGATATGTTGAATGAAAGAATACATGTATCAACTTGAAGGCAGTTTCGTGTAAATACGTAAAATAGCAGGACAATTATGGCGTCCAAATAATGTTGCGATCACTCGATTTAGCATTGGTTGTAGCATTTCAAAGAAAGATTAAGAAAACGTCGTTTTCCTCTAAATTGTACTTCATATAATAAAAGAAGCGTACGTCTCTATTTCATGTACAGCATACAATATAATTCAGTCAGAAATAAAAATTAAGTATAATTTATTTATGCAAATTTAATAACGATGTATGATCATATTTATGATACCGACCCTTGGAGACACTATTAAAGTGATGTGTTTATGTACAATGATAGCTGTGGCACGAATACGATGAGCGTTATACTTTGAATAATATTGTTATTGATGGGCTAGGCTGGGTCATTAGTGAAATGAAGTCGTCGAGAACTCTCGACTCTCTTTGTACAGCCGGTCGGCAAATATAAGAATAGTGTAGTTCGAGTGACTGCGGTAGTTCAATATGCAAGTGCATTTGCAGATGTTTCTCTGACGTACGCTACGTTATTTATTTATTTATTTATTTATTTATTTATTTATTTATTTATTTATTTATTTATTTATTTATTTATTTATTTATTTATTTATTTATTTATTTATTTATTTGTTTGTTTGTTTGTTTGTTTGTTTATTTATTTGTTTATTTATTTATTTATTTATTTATTTATTTGTTTGTTTGTTTGTTTGTTTGTTTATTTATTTATTTATTTATTTATTTATTTGTTTGTTTGTTTGTTTGTTTATTTATTTGTTTGTTTGTTTATTTATTTGTTTGTTTGTTTGTTTGTTTGTTTATTTATTTGTTTGTTTATTTGTTTGTTTGTTTGTTTGTTTATTTATTTATTTATTTATTTATTTGTTTATTTATTTATTTATTTATTTATTTATTTATTTATTTATTTATTTGTTTGTGCCCATATGTAACTACTATGGCAAGATGAAATGGAACGCGCATGTTCATTGAATCACGCTAATTCCAACTAGTGCTTCTTCAAACGTGCCGCTTCAGTTGTGGCATATTTACCCGCACATTTTCCCAACCTATTAGCCCAATTAAATGAGTATATGTTCGATCTCATAAGTTCAACTGATAATAATTGGGGCGACAGTGAAAAGGATACTTCCTACTTTTGCGAGTTCGATAATTATTACATAGACCTATTTATGCGTAATTAGTATCGTTGTGTTCCTTCACTTTTACATTCTAAAATATCACGTCACCTTTGCTTTGATCATCTCCGAAAACTGTGTGATACCATGGTGATACCAAATCAGTGTTTACATGGCACACTGGTCGGGTTTCAATTAGCAGACACAAAAACAACTAAAACTGAGCATGATTCCGGCGTACACTTATGGCTGATTTCAGAAATAGGTGTGAAGGGGGTCTGAGGATTTTGAGGGAATATTCGATAAGAATTATATCCTGGCAGGGGTATGTAAAAAAAATGGCAGTAGGATTTGTAAGTGAAAATATTTTTATTACAATGAGCTTTGAATAGTGTTTTTGTATGATTAATCTCCTGCCATTGCAAGAATGAATCCTGTATTACATGTTTGCGAAGATACAAACTTTCTTGAGTGTATGCAGAGTACACATTTTGTTTGGGCATGTGGGTGTGTGCTGTTGCCTGAATTGGACCCTTCATTAGGTGTTCTATAACACACCGTACCCCGTGACAGTACTCGTACTCGGACCTGCAAAAGAGAATATACATAACAAACAAACACACACACCATTCATTTTTCTGTAATGAACACTACATTTATACTTTTACTTCATCAAATAACTTTTCATAAAACATTTGCATTTTACAAGAAAAACTGATGACAGATCATCTTAAGTTACTCTCAATACGTGTAATATTACACCAACGCTAGCCTTGACCAATTATTACGAGCATAGTTGCTATGGTAATTGTAATAAAACACAATTATAAAATAATATTAGTATAATATTGTTATGTTTGGACGGTGATTATACTGTTGTATGCATGCTATCTCAGCTTTAACTTTTAAATACATAAATACATTACAAATAAATAAATGAATGTAATAACAAAAATAAATAAAAGAGACAACAGTTTTTGTGGGTCATAATAGATGAGATGAATTTCCAATGTATGATGGACTGACTTTACTAACGCTGATCCTAGTATGGGAGTGAGTGACCATGATGTAAAGTTCAGATGTGCTGGGTCAGTCTGGTTTACTATATAAGAATGCATTGGTACAAGGTGGACTCTGGGAGGAATGCAGACGAAATGGAAAACAGTGCAATAGGTGATGCTATGGTAGATGATGCAACTTTAGAATGGGAAGATTACTCTATGTTTCATGATGCACAGATCGAAAAACTATTAGGAACACATTAGGAACGAGTGTCAACGTACTAGTACTGTGCAAAATGCATAGACAAATGCAGGAGAGGTCTTAGGTGCACATATAGACGCCAAACTTGCACTAAAGAGAAGCTTCATTAACATATATTTGAAATCATATTCCAAAGCCAAAACATATAGATATAGGTAGTCTATTACCGGTGACCACTATTGTCAATTTATTAAGGATTATCTTACATATAATTGATTATGAATGGTTGTGCAAAAGAACTTTCTCCTAGAACCTGGGACTCCTGTTTAAGGGAATGGACAAGTCCAGTTATGTTGCGTATTCCGCGTCCAATGTCACTTCTATGCAATCTGGATGTTTTGACAGCTCCCCCACAAGAGAACACGGGAATGAGAGACCACTAGATGATTTTCAACTGAGTGCTCAACTAAAATGCCACTTTCATGATGGAACAGTATCCGGCAAGAACACACAAAGACATAATGAACTGCCTGAGCATCTTTGTGTTGCGGCAAATATACTAGTAGAGGCAGTTGTTCATCTGGAACAACAAAAGTTGTTTGCTGAGTTGTGATCGAGAGACAGACTCAGAGAAAGAAAAAAAATATTTTACAGTTACATTCTGGTGATATTTCCAAGCTTAGCGTTAGCCAGATATCTCCAGAAATATAACATATATATTGTTACTATTGTTACTATAGATAAGTGGAAGAAAGACAAAATAGGGCTGTCATACGTCATTACTATCAGGATAAAAACAAATATTAATGTTAGTCATTTTTCAAGTGACAGTGATGATGAAAAGGTGACCATTACAGTGATTCTGATATTGTCGAACCGAAAGACGAAATTGATCAAGTGGAAGTTGAACAATGTGTGTATACACGATCGGGGATAAAAACGGCAACACGGAAAACAAAGGTAAACAAAAATCATCTATAGTCAGCAGATCATCGCAGTTCAAGGTTACCATTAATAGTGGTGACAGTAAATCGGATACTGTACGAGAACTAAAAGATACCACGTGGAGGAAACGTTTAAACATTAACTTTTTACAAATATGGTTTTACGAATAGCCATTGTGTTCATTGTATAAATTTTCTTGGAGTCTCCAAAATCTAGAGTAGTGCGTTATATTGCATTGCATATTCTATTTTGTTATATCTGTAATGCTATAGAACCCTCTTCAAAAACAATTTCTAGATACATGGCTAGCGGGGATAATTAATGCATTTCAGCTATTATTTGTTTGGGTGGGGGTTCCTCCGATCTCGCACTGTGACACTTGTTTGCGAAAGTAACCTGAGGTAGATACATAGCGGTAGTCCTAAATATTAGTTACCCTTCGATGTTGATGATTTTTTGCCGTACTTACATTTACGACTTCTTCCAAGCATGAAATACAGCGACTTTCACCGTCTCAAATTTGAAATACTTACCAAAATGTGATTTTTTTTTAATCAAAATGGCATCACAGCTAAATATAGGTAAATACATCTTTAAATCTTTGGCAAAATACATTAAATTTGCGATTACATTCCTGTGTGCATAATCACAATTTATAATCATGGGACACTTTTTTTTATCCCCCATTAATTGAGAATAATAGAAATGCCAAGGAAATACAGCCTTATACGTGCGTATATACGTGTAACTCTTAAAATAAATAAGCGGTGAATTTTTACAAATGTTCGCCCTCTAACGGCGTATACCGCGTAGCAACGCGTAGCGCGCCGGAAAATTGTGTGTTTTCGGACAGTAGGGATGTTTTCTTCAGTTGTTTTACGCTGTTATTATAGTTTACTTAAAGCGGGGGAGTCGTCACCTGCGCATGCGTCAGATGGCCATAGTGTGTAATTGTTTACAAACAAGCGTCTACCCATGAGCCTTTGCGTTTTAGCGTGTGTTGTTATCGTCGCTTGGGGCTCAGTTCCCACGCGTGAGCAGGTGACGACCCTCCCGCTTTAAGTAAACTTAAGTTGCTCAAATTTTGGGTCTAATACAAACGGCCAAGAGACTGGACACAAAACACGACGCACTGGGATGACGTCAGCAAGGTATATATATACCTTAATGTCAATTCATGAATATTGTGCGTATAGCCACAGACACATAAATTGTTAATAATAATAATAATAATAATAATAATAATAATCACTCACCTGTTCAAGACGAACTCTGGTTTTCATGATCTGATTTTTCTCGTCCTTGAACAAAATCAAGATAATACATTTTATCAAAATAATATGACAAATAAAAATTATGATACACTATTTGATTACCTGACAAAATTTAAATTCATATGTGAAAATTCAAAAATAAACATATTCAACGTGAAGTTCAGTTTATTAAATAATTAATGTGTAGTCTGGGTGTTCATTGAGTGGGAAAACATTGCGTAGTCGACTGTACACGGACATCTTGCATTTATGTATAATTCACGGGTTTCCATATGGTAGTTAAAAGATTGTTTTCTTCACCTCCAACCCCAACCTTCAAATCAATGACGTAATTTAAAAAATTAAAGCCATGTGAATTCCAGACACATCGCTCATGGGAAAGTGCGTAATCCCATGTTTCATCTAAATACGTATTTCACATTCAGTCAGTGTACACACAGTGTAATGCAGAAATTAGTTTTTGATATATCGGATTATTAAATCGTGGTTTTTTTTACCTATACGTAGTGTTCGTTGATTTATGTGAATGACACCGTGATGGAAAGTACTATTAGAAATTAGAAGAGTGTACTTGTAACGTACGAAGACAAATATATTCAATCACCGTGCATATGTCACTATGTCCGATCAGAAATGTAAACACGTTGTATTCAACGCTATTGAATGATTTAAGTGTATTTGTAAAGCGCTTTGGGAACATGCTGACACGGGCTGTTCACTTTAGTCGTGTCGGATTAATCCTTTGAACTGTGAGGTCAAATCTTTCATAAAAGAAACTATATATAATTTCTACATTTAAAAAAAATATTGGGCCATTTGACCCCCAAAAAATGGTAGAATAAAAAATAAATAAAGTTGCATACTGTGAATTTGGAAATGACGAAGCTAAACGGATTCATTATGTTTTGTTGTAAATAATCATGTTTCATTTGCATATCTGACTCGAACATAATGTATTAAGTAATATTCGTCACTTGAACTTACCCAGTTAGTATTGTACGTAATAAAGGAAGTTTAAGAATTACTATGATTACTGTGTTACGCGTAATAGGTCAGTTATGTGCGTGCTAAAGTACGATCTTTACTATATTACCATATTCATGACATGTGTTGCGTGTAATCCCAGTAAGTAATGAACAGTATCATAGTAATGCCTGACTTACTGTAATTATTATCATACCATTTTCACGTCCTGCGTCACGTGTAATGACAGATCGTAATGTATTGCATCATTCTAATATTTATGTAATTTACATCTTATCACATTCGTGACATATGTTACGTGTAATCCAAGTAAGTAATGAACAGTGTCATTGTAATGCCTTAATTACTGTAATTATTATTCCACCATATTCACGTCCTGTGTCACGTGTAATGTCAGATCGTAATGTATTGCATCATTCTAATACTTATGTAATTTACATCTTATCACATTCGTGACATATGTTACGTGTAATCCAAGTAAGTAATGAACAGTATCATTGTAATGCCTTAATTACTGTAATTATTATTCCACCATATTCACGTTCTGTGTCACGTGTAATGCCAGATCGTAATGTATTGCATCATTCTAATACTTATGTAATTTACATCTTATCACATTCGTGACATATGTTACGTGTAATCCCATTAAGTAATGCACAGTATCATTGTAATGCCTTAATTACTGTAATTATTATTTTAACATATTGATGGCATGTGTTACGTGTAATCACAAGTCGTAATAAACAGCATTATTCTAAGACCTGAAATAATGTAATTACCATCTTATCATATTTGTGTCATATGTTAGTAATGCACAGTATTGGTGTAATGCCTGAAGTAATGTAATTATTATCTTAAAATATTCGCGATACGTATAATCATAGTCAGTAATAAACAATATCATTGTAATATCTCAAGTAATGTAATTGTTATCATAATCATTAGCATTATTATCATTCGAATCTCTAAAACTATTATTATTATTTTCTTACCATATTCATGACCTGGGTCATATGTAAACCCAGTGCGAAGTTCACAGTACTGTTATAGTTGATTGCAGGTCGCGCCAGTTTGTTGTATCTGTTTTCAGCAAACAGATCTGATAATAACTTGTCATCTGCTGGTTTCCGTTGATCTAAATGTGCAATGCAACATCCTGGAACGAAGAAGCATAAGTTCTATGCGTATAACTATAATGTTATGGTAGTATTTAATGAGGGAATGTGGATGAAAAAAATGTTTTATCATGTTTCGACATTTTTGTTTGATATTGAATCTTAATTAAATTAATTAAATTTATCGTAAACTTAGCAGTATTTAATAGGTGAAATGCTGGAAACGTGAGTTTGTAATTACGCTGTACGTGTTTATTTTGATTTGACGTTGTATTTCCCATTGTACTCGGTGTTATTTGCTTACTTTACTTTCTATGTCAGCAGCTACTATGAGTTTACAATTATTTCTCAGTACTTATTCACTGTTCTAATGCTACATCATTTCTTTCATCACCAAAGTACAGCTAGATCTGAAGGCCTTTGTCGCAATGTCTGACTACGCTGTGTGGCGCGGATCGACGTGGGCGGGTTTCATATGATGCTCTCTGTAAATAATAAGTTCGGTTTTAAGCATCATTTTTTGGAGGATGCCCGGTGGCCGAGAGGAAGACGTGCCGTGACGAGAGACTAGGCGATTAGGTGCCGTACGCGATCGCCGTTTCGAGACACCCACGATCTAGTGTCATGATAGTACTTTGTTTTGACGTAGTATTTACCATGCCGTTTTTTCGGTGTTATTTACTTGCTTTACATTCTACTAGTATGTCAGCAGTTTATTGTATTACTTGTATGTATATGAACATCCCGTTTTTCGCTGAACGATGACTGCTATGTTTCTGCATTACATTACATTACATTACATTACATTACATTACATTACAATATTATATTATACATGTAGTATGTTATTGTACATATGTCACCTTAACGCCGTACGTTACAGCGTGCCGTAACTTTGCGGTATTTTACGGGGAATTTTCATCCTACCAAATTAGGAAATGTGAATTCCAAATGTGGAATGATTACGCTCGTAATCATTAATAATAATGAATAAAAACTAACATGGCTGCCACCAGAGTTTGACCTAATTCAACACAAAGAAGTTCGCTGATTCTGTTCTAAACACTTTGGATTTCGGCATTCCCATGGTGTATCCTTGGAAGGAAAAGATGTATAATAATAAGGTTATTACGAGAATACCTCAAAGTATGCACTCAGACAGTACGCCGCGCGTCGAGCGACGAGCAGATTCTCCAGCTGCACTCTCTTCGTGTACATACTTTAAGGTATCCTCGTAATAAGCTCATATTATATTAATTAGATACAGGTTTATTGAGCTAATTTACCTGATTTTAATATATTTTCTAAATTTAATTAAACTGGGTCAAACCAATACTTGCCATGTGTCAGAGGAGAGTTGTTTAATCGATGTTAATTTGACTTAATTTTCGTTTATTTAGGATATTCTCAAAATTTCTCACACTGCCCCAGGCTTCAATAGTACACAGCTCATTAAAAAACACACGGGAGTACTTTTTAAGTGTTTATCAAGCCTATTCAGAATGCGATTGGTCGTTTATCGAGACACATGCGTTTCCCTGCAGTAATATTTCAGCAATTCAATGTTATGTGACTTTGTAAGGTAATTTGTTTGTCTCGCAAACATCGCAGTCGACAGCAGGACACCGAATTCAACAACAACATCTTCATAGCCGTGTTTTTAGTTTTACGGGTATAAACGATTTGTTCAAACCTTTGGGTATTGAATTTGTTAGATAAACATGTTGAAATTATACACTAGGTTGTGATTTACTGTTTACTGGAAACATTGTTTTTGTTTTCAACCGTGAAATATGCCGGTAAATACGCATGCATTTTTAATTAATAGTACGTACCATTAATTCAGTATCACCGCTGGTGTATTGCCTCAGACAAATACTTATGTTGGAAAAAAACGCATGTAACAATATATAATACCGAACAACGTGAAATAACATTAAAATATCCGTTTAATTTTTAAAAATCGATCATTTTCATTTACGTTCTTGGTTGCCAAGATTGAGAGTGTTTCATTCCATTGTTAATTAATCAACCAGGTAGATTTCCCAATGTTCGGATACTTTAATTATATAACGTACTGACTTAATTTAGGTATATATCACGATGGAATAGGCAAATTAAATACTTTTATTTTTAAATTGGTTGAAATAATATGAGATTATTACGAGGATACCTCAAAGTATGCACGAAGGCAGTACAGCGGAAGTATCGACGGACGCGCAAGCGCCGTACTGCCTGAGTGCATCTTTTTCTTCCAAGGATACATCATGGGAATGCCTATATCCGAAAAGTTTAGAACAGAATCAGCAAACTTGTTTGTGTAGCAGCCACGTTTGTTTTTATTTATTAGGGGACTCTTACGCACCGCGTAATCATTCCGTATTTGGAATTTGCATTTCTTAATATGATAGGATGAAATACCCCATGAAATACCGCAAAATTACTGCACGCTGTAACGTATGGCGTTACGGTGACAGATGTATAATAATAAATTCTACTTCAAGATAATCATCTCTGTTCTTTCATATCCCGAGTAGTATTACGAGCCTTGGACGATACTATTCGTTGTTTGGTTGATTAACAGCAAATATTCTGAGATATTTACCCTAAACGTCATGCATTTATGAAGGATTAGTTTGTGGGAAAACAACCCTAATTCTGGTTTTCAGAATCGATAACGTTCTGGTGTTGTATTGCTACAGCATAAATCACAATTTCTTGAACCTTGTCAGATAAGAGATATAAACATAATATCATAAGAAAGTACTTGACCTAATCTGTTGAAATGGCGTAACGACACGTGTTGCGATCTCGAGTCATATGTCGTCTCATTTGTCATTATGATGGAAATCATGATTGGTTAAAAATGCCAAATATAGCACGTATTGCCTATTTCTTTGATGTAAAGAGAGGTGCGTAATGGATGACGTCATCAGATCGATAATACTCGACCAAAAACATAGCTATTTAAGTTTTTACTATTCGAAGAACAGGATTTAAAAATTAGAATAGAATAACCGGAAAACATGTTTATTATTAAAACATAACCGAAATTGTGCTGCCCAATGTCGCCATGTTTATTATTTTCAATCTAAGTAAACTTCAACAAGCGAGAGAAAAAAAAAACATTTCGAAATCGACTAGAATAGTGTTAGATGCACTATGGGTGAAAACAAATAATTTTAATACTGCCATCTCATATTTCATGTTAATGAATAAATTTGATTATGATATATCATATTGTAAAAAAAAAACGTTGTTCGTGTAGCACGGACCTGAGTATTTGTTCCGTGAAACAATGACACGTCACTTCTACGCATGTGCACTGATTGTTTTGGAGCACCCAATAACAATCACTGCGCATGCGTAGTAGTGTTTTTCATTTGTCATCAAAAGAATACAATGTGCTGTGAAAACACTTCATGTTTTTGTTTTTTTATAAATTATTTAGTTGTACCTTATTATTGTATTATTATATTATAAATATAATACTAACTTATATAATATTGTGTATACGTTTTTTAAATATGAATGTACAGTACGTAGGATAGAAGAAAATACAGGAAATTTGGTTGATTTGGTTGAGGGTGAGTGTCCGGGAATATATATATATATAATGAGATCACATGACAAACCCGAATGATATGGTTATTTTCACCAGCTGAGACAGGTTAGATAATTCTCACGTGCCCGTTTCTCGTGAAATAACGTTTCATTGATATCCGCTTCGCACGGTGCCGATAACAAGTCCGTCAGTATTATTCGGATCTATATCGGTAGTCAACGCGAATCTCCAGGGGTAACGGCGTTGATTACAGAATCGAATTATCAGAAACGGTGGCTCGAGTTTGTCGGCGAATAGTTGATGATCTCCGATTTAGATGCGGGCCCTTTTACTCCCCCATCAACTCAAAGTGAGTAATTGTAATGACAAGAACTAGACAACTATACGATGGAAAAATGTTCTCAATGACATTCGAATCGCCCTGAGGGCAGTCACCTGGCCTGCAGAGACATTTACCTTCGAATTTATTATTTTCTGACAGTATTAAAAACATGAGTATAAATACTAGATATGTCGCAGATGCAGTATACGATCGGTGATATATTATAGTAAATCTTTTAACGATAAAAAGATATCTGGCAAATGAAAGATATTTATTCGACTGTGTCTTGCGAGTTCACGGCATTATATTACTCGTAAGCATACAATGGTGTGTGTGTTGACCGATTACGCTGCATACGTGTTTAAGGAGCTAAATCTGTATCACTGCAAAGATGGGTGTATGATACTACAGCGTATATTTTTGTAAAAAAAATAATACACACCTGAAAGAACGAAAACTGTGGTGTACAGATTGTACCAATGAAAGGAACTCTTCTGGTCCATTCTGAGCGGGAATTCCTTCTGTCTGTCACAATGAGCCGAATCGTTGATGTGACACGCAGACGACATACATCGGAGTCGGTACAATCCGCGAAATTACTTTTGCTTCACTGCCGCCTGCGTGCCACGCTGACGACACCCATCGGAGTTGACGCAATCAGTAGAAACAATGAATTGGTTTTTTGGCGTGAAACACAGGCGAAGACACACCGGGATATTAAAAATATTGGCGCAATATTAAACAGAATGACTTTTACTCCCGGACTTCGCTGCCCTTCTGTATGTCACACTGCAGTTGTCGCACTCAACGGAACCACTGTTTACCTATTTGTTGTGTGTCACGCAGCTGACACAGACCGGAGTTAGCGTAATTAACCGAATCCCTTTATAGCGATCCCAAGTGAGCAAAGTGTTAAACCGTGAAGATAACAAATTGTTATTCTCGTTAATTAGAGTCATGTGTGTCGACCTGTAGGCAAATAGAACATTTAAGTGTGAATCAGGATTGTTCCTATAAAATCCGCTGTGCATGGTTAAAGGGCGGTAGTCATCGTGCCGCGTCCTGTTCGATATGGCACTCATAGCGACGTATAGAGAGTAGCGTGTTATTCTCCACACAAATCGCGCGCGTGCTCTGCGACGTATTTTACACGT